GTGCAATAGAGAGGCAGGCACTCTCTCTTGCCTGCAATTTTAATTGAATGATGGGTAGAATGACTGAATAGAGGTATTGTCAGTCTCTATTTCTTTGCCTAATGCAAATAGATGGGATCAAATGAATGCATTGATACCTGGTGATTCCTTCAAGACATACTCAGCCTCCAAAGATACAGAAGTAATGTGTCAAGGAGTTGCAGCCAATCACAAATCCCCTTTTCTCTTGCCAATGGGGACTCCCCACTCCCGCTGGGTCCGAGCTGCATGAAGGGTGGGGTGATGGTGATAGAAATCTCCAGTTTTATCACAGCATGATAAAGAGGTAAGCCTCCATTCCCCACATTTGACATTCTGATAAATAAGTGCCTGCAATTAACAGAAAACAACATGCTACATACCTAGCAAATATCTAGTATGGCCCTTCTGGAGAAAGGGAACTGGGTGTTTGCTATTTGTTCTAAGTAGGGATGGGTGAATCTGTCAGTTTTGGTTTCTTTCAGTTTCTCATTCTTCCAACCTTCACTTCCCGGTACTTCTACATCAGTTTGCAAATATGTTTATTTATTTTAAAAAGTCATGAAAGTTAAGCCACATTTTAGTGTGAATTTCTCATAAAATAGATGTTTTGTAAGCATTTTTGCCATATATACAAATTTTTGAAAGCAATATTCTCTAATGTAATTAATTTTCATGTTACTTTCACTAATATATGCCTTTATGTGTTTACATTACCTTAATATGTGCATTTTTGTACACATTAGTTGGCTGTAGAGCTGTACTGAAAAATTCAGAGAGCTGCGAATTCTGAAGGCTTGCTCAAGGCCAGGGGTCAGCACCGTGCAGCCCATGGGCCAGATGCAGCCCACAAAGACCGTTTTACTGGCCCACCAGCCACCCCTGAACTGAGCCGCCCACTCGGCAAGCCCCCCATGCACTGCGCTAAATCAGCGCAGCACAGCGCAGGGACTCGCCAAGTGGCGCTGGAAATCGTGTCTGTGCATGTCCAGATGCCGAAAATCGCTTCTGTGCAGGCATGATGTTCAGCATTGCGCAGCGCCAGTCCAGACCACAGACGATCTCTGTGGGAGCGATCCGGCCCATTGGCTGGTAAACCTTGCCGACCCCTGCTCAAGGCCTTGCGCTTGGGATCTTCTAAAGGCAAAGCATGCATTCTCCCAATAAGCTACAGCTCCCCTCCCAACATATTTAGGGCTGAACCCAGGTTTACTTGGGGGAAGGCCAGAGCTCAGTGGTAGAGCATCTGCTTTGCATGCAGACAGTCCCAGGTTCCATTGCATCTTCAGGTAAGGCCAGGAAAGCTTCCTTGCCTGAAACCATGGCAAGCTGCTGCCTGTCACTGTGGACGGTACTAAGCTAGATGGGTCAGTAGTCTGACTCGGTATAAGGCAACTTCCAACATGTCTATGTACCATACCTGTATTGTACCTTTCTCCCAGCTGGTAGCAGCTTGGGGAGGGGGGAGGATTGAAATTGGGTCAATGGAATTGCCTGTATTGTGGTCCTGATCCAACCTGTCCCCCTTCTGGGATGATTTTAATAAAAGAACTAGGTGTTAAAAAATCCCATCATGGGCCTGTCATTTTACTGCTAGTTTAGCCCTTAACTTAAAAAGGCAAAAAGCAAGGAGGAGCGGCAAGACCTGAGACTGATCTTGAGAAATAAATACTTATGATAATGTGATGTGCCCAACATGTTTCAACAATTATTTTCCTTGGGGCAAAAAAGACGTCTCTTATCTTGATAGCAGCAACCAAAGCAGTGCGCTTGAAGAATGTTATTTTATTGTAGGGCATCTTTCAAGCAAACTGTTTCAGCTGGGCATATCCTGTGTTATAATATTGCTCCCATCCTCCCCATTCACTAGTCTAAGATATTGCTCATACCTTTTCCTCTCTCTCTTTAATTTTTTGGCTTTTTGGATATGCCTCCCTTTCCTCTCTCTTTTGTGATGAACTTCATTTCCTCGGCTTGTGGCCCCTGTCCAAATCCCGATCTACATTTTGAGCTGACTCATGTTCTCATTGGATCCCTCCTGTGCTTTTGCTCCTGCGCCCCATCCCATCCTCCTCCTCCTCCTCGGCGATGCGGCATTCAGGAATTCCAGGAGATGGATATCTTGAAATAAACGGCAGGCAGGCGCCATTTGCTGCTCGACAGCTTGAACACAGCAAAGGAAGGCCTTTACGCTGCTTCATTATATTTCATGTCGCCATAAATAATATTCCATAAAGAGCAAATTCAAATAAAAAGCTCAGGGCACATTTCCCCTTTTTGTTTTCCTCCCTAACACACTCTTAAAGTTTTTAGAGAGGCCAACTTTTATGAGTCTGAGCTTGCACCGCTTGGCAATTGCTGCCCGCTGCTAATATAAAAGCAACAGTGTAAATGTGTTAATTACTGTTGGCTTGCAAAACAAAACAAAATGGAAGGGGGAGCTATGTAAAGATGCTAGAGGTAGGCTTTTGGTCTATGCATTTCCTCCTGCTACATGCAAAGTGAAAAAGAAATACAGCTGAGAAATATATCTACCAATGTTGCTGCTGCTTCTTGTTTTTAGATAAAGCAAGCAAGTTTCTAATCCTCATGAGCTGTAGTCTTAAAAAAAATAAAAATACAAACATTATTCTGATCAAATTTCAAAAACTTTTTTTCAGCAAGCTAAACCACACATGTAAGTTTGATACGTTTTAAAATATGTGTTTTATAAAGTATCTTTCTAAACTGCTGATTTTTTTTTATTTCTAACATCTGATTTTATCATAATTTTAATGTATATTTTATGTAAGCTGCTTGGAGGTTTTGAAGATGAGGTGCTTTATACATTCTATTAACTATACATACATACATACTAGCTATGGCTAGAGAAGTTAATGACAGAGCTCTGAATGGTTATTGAAATCAAGGCATGGTCGGGGAAGGTGTGCTTCTGGTTATCAGATGCTAGAGACAAGCGACAGCTTTGTCCAACATGACACTGCTTCAAAGTAAACCTGGAACGTAAGAGGCTGTCTTATGCCATGTCAGACAATTGTTCCAGCTAGCTCAATATTGTCTACACAAGCAAAGGGGAATCTGTGGCCCTTCCAGGTGATGTTGGACCACAACTCTCGTCATCTCTGACCATTAGCTATGCTGGCTGGGGCTGATAGGAGCTGAAGTCCAACAACATCTGGAGGGCCACAGGTTCCCTTTCCCTGGCTTACACTGTCTGGCAGTGCCTCTCCAGCCAAGGGGCAAAACCTTCTACAGGCAAAACATGTGCTTTGCCACTGGCTAGCCACTGCTGGAAACAGAATGTTGGACTTGATGAACCTTTGGGTGGATCCAGCAAAGCAATTTTTCATGCCGTCCCAAGCTCATCATCCCAAGCAGAACAACATTCATAAGAACATAAGAGCCAGTTCCCCAGGTAGTCCAGCATCCTGTCTCACAGTGGCCAACCAGAAACCTATGGGAAGACAGCAAACAGGATCTGGGTGCGACAGCACTCCCCCCTCCTGTGGTTTCCAGCAACTGGTATTCAGAACCATTACTGGTTCCATAGGAGCCAACTCCTGGGGGCTGAGGGAGCTTCACCTCCCCCAAATATTTGAGGGGACTGCCCCCCAAGTTTATGGGCACTGCCATTCAAATGATGTGTGTGTGTGTGTGTGTGTGTGTGTGTGTGTGTACCATGTCATGTGATTATGTAGGGTGGAGCTTACCTGGGCTTCTGCAATATTTTATTCAAGTTGGTTCTAACAGTGGAGGTAGTGGAGTCAATGTCAGGATGCCCTCAAACCATCTAAGGCACTGTGTGCATTGTCTAAGAGGACACATTGAGATGTTTGCTTATCTCAAATGGACTTTTGTTGAAATAACAATTCTACTTGACCATGTACAATGCCTCTGTATAAATTATGCCCTGGTGAAGGCATTTGCTCGCAACACAGAGTGCATTCATGCTTTGGATAATAAACCACCATATTTTTGTAGCTTTGTTCTTTTGTTAATTAGATTTTGTGGGCAGCAACCTGTTTATTTTAATTTCAACTGCACAGCACTAGACTTTTTCCGGCACTTTAATATCACTAAGTGAGGAAGAAGAGGAGGATAAAGTTGATGAATAGGTACAGTCCTGGGAGGAAAGTACTACATGATTTCCCCTGCATATTTTGAATCAGTCACATTAAGGAAGCAATTGGAGACTGACTCCATAGGCGAACATGCCACAAGCAAACTCAGTGAGTTGACAGTGTCAGCAGTGTCAAATAGTAATTCTTTTGCTGGTCTGTGTTAGGCAAGGTTGTAGGAGAGGGGTGAGGGGAATATATTATTATGGGACAATATAGGCTCTAAAGCAGGGCTAGCCAACATGGTGCCCTCTAGAAGTTGTTGGACTCTGGCTCTTATTATGTTTCACCATGTTGACTGGGGCTGACAGATGTTAAAGACCAACAACATCAGGAAGGCACAGTGTTGATTATTTCTGATCCGGAGCAGAAATACTATTCACTAAAAAAAAAAAGTGTGTGTTCTTTCACAAATGAAAGAACTTCTCTGGATTTGAGGTCACTTTTCTCACACAAGGCTTTTCCACAGGAACCAACATTAGGCTGCCCCAAGCACCAAATCTTGAAGGGGGATAATGGCAGTTTGAAGGCAGAGCTGTGTGGCTTCCTCTGCCTGCCTAAAGCTAATCTGCTCAGGTACGGTGAGGAAACTGTCCCATTGCCAGTGTCCAAGTAAGATTCAACTATTGTTCTGATTGGCTTCAGTACATAGAGTGGTGTGTGTGTGTGTGTGTGTGTGTGTGTGTGTGTATGTACATGCGCCATCTTGTTTGCCTCACAAAGCAAACTGTATTGGGCCAGCCCTGTCTTCCACGAAGGCCACATCCATTTTATATTAAAAGCAGAATCCTACCATTTTAAACAGCCATGGCTTCCCCCAAAGAATCCTGGTAACGACTGTTATGAGTCCTGAGAGCTGTTACGAGATCCCCTATTTCCCTCACAGAGCTACAATTCTCAAAGTGGTTAAATGGTCGGTCCTTCTACCAAGGGTACTCTGGAAATTATAGCTCTTTGAGGGAAATAGTAATCTAAGATCAGCACCCTTAACCAACTACAGTTCCCAAGATTCTTTGGTGGGAGAAGCCAGGACTGTTCAAGTGGCATCATAGTGCTTTAAAAGTATAGTCTGGATGTGGCCTCCATCATAAACAGCCCTTCTATGAGTGGAAAAGGCTTTCTGGCTAAATAGGACATCTTTGAACATAAGAGCATAAAGAGAGCTCTGAAGGATCAGAGGCCTAGCATCCTGTTTTCCATTGTGGCCAACCAGTTGCCTCAGGGAAGTTCACAAGCAATTGTTCCTCAACCATTATATGTACTTAACAACAGTGTTAATAAGTGACAATGTGCTGCTCTTTAATGGTGCCTTAAGACTGTGGCCTGGAGTTTCTGCCTTGCTCTGCTTCACAGTGTGAAGCAGAATTAAAACCTCTTGTTACTCTTGTCATCTTTTCACTCCATCTGCCACTATAGCTGACAATGTCTCTCTCCCCCCACCCTGCTCTTCCACACACACACATACACACACACACACGCTGAGCAAGAACCCACCAGTTAAATAATAATTTTTAAAAACGCCACAATTTTTTTATGGTTTCACCTCTGGAAAAAAATACTATGGGCTGACTTCTAGATTTCGTCTGCTCCCGTATTGCTTTCTTGGGGGCCCTCGCAATTCTGAGGGCGAGTATTTTCCTTGTCGTGCTGCCAATCAAAATATTTGAAGGAAATGTTTATTTTCTTCTCAAAATCGCACCAGCTGCTGCCTTAACTGAATAAGCCCATTTAGAGGTAATAATTTAACCATTGTGAGAGCAAACCAAGGGCCCGCACACTCCAAATATCTGACCCGATCTATCAACGGAAATGGCAACACTTTGGATCAGGGAACTGGGAAGCAAGAATTTGTGTTCAACCAGAGGTCATCGTTCCGACTAGCGTAACACTGTTGCTGCTTGGGGTTGGCCACTCACTCTGCCTTGTGGTGGTCAGTGATAACAAAAACAGAGACCCAGTTTGCAACTTGCCCTGATTTCCCCACCTCCTATTTCACAGATGCTGGTGACTTAAGCAACCTCACCTTAGGAGCCAAGCAGCACGCAGATGAGTTTTCAAGCTTCTCCGTTCGCTTTCCAGGTCAAACAACCAAATCCAATAAAATGTCATCTCTGTTTTCATACCAGCCTTGGAGGAAGCCTGACTTCACAGATTCCAAGAAGCAACAGCTTGAAGAAAGCTAAATTTTTCCGGGTCGTCCCTCTCCCCTTCTCCCAATATAGAAGCAAGCTAAGTGGAAGGGGCCATTGTTTCAGACAGCAGTACAGCTAGGTGATTTTTAGACCCTGAATCCAGACCCTCCACACACAACACTAGATGAACAGGTGTGAACCACACAATTAGCATTTATCTTCCCTCCACGAAGGGCAAGTGTGCATAAATGTGTATATTTAGTAAAAATAATTTCATTTTAAATTAAATTGCTTGCAAAAAAATGTGTATTTTAAGCAAAACTGCTTAGTTCACACTAAAATGCTGATAATTATCACAAGGACATTTAAAATAGTCATCCACATTGCAAACTGATGTGAAAATGCAGAGAAATGAACTTAAGATTGAAAGTGTGAGAAACCGAGAAACCGAAATTGACAGATTCACCCATCCCTACTCATAAGTAAAGTGACTCATAATTTCTTTCTCAAATGGAGATGTTTGAACAAGCCTTGAAACATTAAATCTGCTAGTTTGGGATACTTCAGTTTCTCATTTTCCCAATCGTAAGCTTAGTTCACATTTTTGTATCAGTATGCTCTATAATATACATATTTGTAATAAAAATTTGTCAGCATTTTAGTATATATATTTGCATGCAATTTTGTCTAATATACTGTTATTTTGTATGTTATTTTCAATAATATATGTTTTTATGAACACTTTATCTGAATATCCACATATTTGTACACTTTATTTATTGAAGAACTGAATCACAAAATTCAGAGATGTGCAAATTTCAAAGGATAGCTGCTTTTGGTTCATGTATTCTCCCCCATCCCTCAACGAGACAAATCAGATCCAGCAATTCATACATTCCTAAGATATATATTTGCTTTTCTGGCTTAAGCTATGATGATGGATAGGATAAACATGGGAGATATTTAACACCCATGTATAAATATAGTTGGCAAGAAGGGTTATGGGCAGATGTGTCTCCCTGTGCCTTTATTTCCAATCCTTCACTCCTTCAGCCCTTTCCTGTCTGTCCCTTAAAACCTCTTACAATATAGCCATATTTTCTAAATGTCGTAGCATTTCACTGAGTAAAACTTAAGACACCTACAACAATAGTAAAGGTGGCATCCAATGCCCTTGTTCCATTGACACAAGGATTTGTTTCTGCAATGGAGCTTCCCCCATCTCCTCTCCCCTTGCATGTCCTCACTCTCTCCAAATTTGCTTCAGGCGACTGGGGGAACCACTAGACCAGATTTAGAGGAGAGGAGAGGAGGGAAAGTTTCCTTTCACAAGTGTAAATCCTTGCACTGGCAGGACAAGGGACTTGAGGCTGCAATATTTAAACAATTAATGGGTTAGATTAAAAGCATTTAATCAATTAAAAGGCAGACCCTGATTAATCAAGGAAATAATAATAATAATAATAATAATACGATACGATATACGATATTTTTTTTTTTTTTTTTGCAATCCTACACATGTCTACTCAGACATCCACCCTGCTGAGTTATGTGGGAATTTCTGCTAGGCCTCTGTTTTCATCGCTGGTTCTCCCACCCACCCTCCCCCAGTTCAGGGTGCTGCTGATGCTCCAAGCATGCTATGGACTATGTTGGCCGCTGTATTTCAGGGCCGGGCAGGAATTTTTCCATTTGGCAAATTGGCACCAGCCATTTGGTTTTCGCCTACCTCATATTAATCGTCACAACTTTGTAAGGCAGATATGCTTTGGGTAAGCTTATATCTTGGATGGATAAGAGGTTGTAGCTTGTGCCTGCCCTCCATGCGTAAGTTTCACACAAGTCTTTGATTATTTTACTCATTTCTTTCTCATGCCACACAAACTGTTCTATTAGGCTGCAACTGGGTTGCACTATCCTAAGGGTTGTTGGTTTCCCCGAAGACTGTCACACTGAAGGCTGAAGCAATATGTCTCTGTATATATAAGGACCAGCTTGAGTGGGTGTCCGCAAAAAGTTAGTGGCTCATTGTTCATGTGATTAAGGTTAATTCCATGGCAAATTTCATTTCTGTTGTTCAAAGGAGCATCCAGGAACAATCAACCCCCTTGAGGAGCCTAGAGGAGGCTCTTCTGAATATATAATTTAATATCTGGACTCAGTTCAACTGTTGTAGTTCAGTGACTAAACCCACAAGGCAAAAAGCAGGGTGAGGAGAGCTTTGGCAGTTCCATCAGAACAAAAAGCCGCACCGCACCTCCCTCCACAGAAGGGAAGAATTCAAAGCTGATGGGGCCAACTTTTGAAAACAAATGTCATCAAGCTGGCTCCTCTGTGCATATATCCAGTGCTGGCTCTTAGTCATAGTTCCCCCACAACAGCTTGGAGGCTCTTACTTAGAACAAAAAGTGACGTCTTTGTGACATCCTTCTGGTAGGTCATGGTGCTTCAGAGCTGAGCCTACCGCTAGGCCAGGGATAGGGAATCCCAGGCCTGGGGAATGAATGCAGCACTCCGTATCTCCCTATCTAGAGCTGGCCAGTGTGGTGTCCTCATGCTCAAGGGAAGCATACAATAGAAAGGTACAAACTTTGGTCACAGCCACACTATACATTTTAAACACTCACTGGATCATCACCTTGTTGTGGTGAGTGGGCTTGCACGTTCCTTTGACCCTTGTACGGTCAAAGGCGAGGAGCTAGACAAAGACTGATCCAAGAAGTCCTCAATGGCAGAACAGGCAGAAGATAACAAGTGGCATGTTACAACGGCTGTGAAAGCAGAAGAAGGCTGGAGCAGATAATAATCTACTGGTCGTCGTGATACTCATGCCATCAGAATAGAGCCTCACTGCGAAGACTGTGCATTGGTCAGCACTGAACTACACACATAAAACAAATTCACACATAGACGTCTTCCAAAAACCCATCTCAAACCCAGGACCGTGAAATCTGGAAGCCCCTAGTCATGAACTGGCACATGGGCAGTGGATACAGATTCAGTCATTCTGACTTAGGACTCTTAAGGACCATCTGTTTTCAGAGTTCCCTGATAACACCGAGGAACACTAGAGCAAGCTAAAAACATCCATTATTGCAGCTTGTGAACAAACTATTGGATACCAACCAAGAAACACCAGGACTGGTTTGATGAGAATAGTGAGACTGAACACATTATTGACAAGAAAGGAAGGCCTTTCAGATCTGGCAAAGAGATAGAAACTGTGCCACTAAGAAAAAAACCTATGCCAATGCTAAGGCTGAGGTTCAAAGAAGAACAAGAGAACTAAAGAACACCTGGTGGGGAGAAAAACCTCAAGAGATCCAGCACTTAGCCAACACTCATGATGTGCAGTGTTTCTTTAAAGCCACAAAGACTATCTATGGGCCAATAAATCATGGCATAACCCCCTACACTTAACAGACGGTACCACACTTCTAAAAGATAAAGAAGCTATTGCATTGCGCTGGAAAGAATATTACCAGCATCTCCTTAACCGCAACTCACCCATAGTTGCCATATTCCACAGAAACAAATTAGAGATGAGCTTGCAGTATCTCCAAATCTAGGAGAGTTGTGTACAGCTATTAACCAAATGAAAAACAACAAAGCCAGCGGACCTGATGGGATATCTGCTGAAGTCTTCCAAGTGGGTGGAACTGAACTTAAACAACAGCTTCACAAACTCATTGAAAATTTCTGGGGGAGAAAGGAGATCCCAGCAGACTTTAGGGATGCCAAAATTATCAATCTCTTTTAAAAAAGGTGATAGAACGGATTGCAGAACCTATCAAGGCATCTCTTTATTAGATGCAGACGGCAAAATTCTTGCAAGGATCTTA